GGGAGAAAGCCACACTGAGACCCTGGGTCCAGTTCTGAGACTCAGGCTGGAGCAAGTCCAGGGGCCTGCAGGGGAAAGCCCAGTCTGGGCTGCTCCAGGCCTGGCCCCGCCTGGACGTGCAGGACCCCAGCTTGAGGGCCACCGAGACCTTGTGCTTTCCAGTTGTGTAATCACTACCACAATCAAGATATAAACAATTTCTATTACTCAGAAAGTTTCCTCAGGCACCTTGTGATCAATCCCCACCTTCCTACAAAAGCAACCAGTTATTTGCTTCCCGTGACTATAATTTTCCTGTTCTCAAATTTTATATAAATAGAGTCTGTGTCCATATCTTTTACCCATGATATTTTGAGATCCAACTATGTTGTTTTAACATTTCATTCCCTTCTATATAATATGGATATACTAAAATGTATTTATTAATTCGCCTTTTGATGGACCTTTGTTTCCAGTTTGGGACAACGATGAATAAAGTTGTTGCTATGAACTTCTGTATACACATTTTGTGTGGACATGTTTTTATTTTTCTTGTGTAACTTCTTGGGAGTAAGATTTTTGGGTTATATGGTAAATCAGTGCCAAATGTTTTCCAAAGTAGTACATCATTTTACACTTTCACCACCAATGGATGAGTTCTAGTTTTTCCACACTCTTAGCATTTGGTGTGATCAATCTTTTTAATTTTAGTCATTCTAGTGGGTGTGAAGTTATTTTCATTGTGGTTTTAATTTTTTTTAATGACCAATAATGCTGAGCACTTTTTCATGTGCTTATTGACCATTCATGCGTCTTCTATGGTGAAGTAACTCATTAAATTTTTGCCCAACATAATTGAACTGTTTGCCCATTAAGTTATAAGAGTTCTTTATTTACCTGTGGTGGCTGAATAAAAGCCAGAAGGAAAAGCAAGTTTGGCTGGGCTGCCTCAAGCAAGGGGGGCAATGGTGAGAAGAGCAACATGGAGAAGGGGAGGTGATCAGGCAGGACTTTGAGGCACAGGTGAGACTTTGGATTTATTACAATTAGGTGGAATGCCACTGGATGGTTTTGAACTATGAATTACTGAAGACCAGCGCATTCAACATGTAGTAATAAATGACTTGTTACGGGCATTTCCCATATTTCCAGACTTTCTGACCACCCTGATGAGCAACTTTAATTCGAACGATGAAAGAACAATCACTTATTTTAACCCCATTAAAAGTCAACTTGAAAAAGATATTTTCCCCTATGAACTGTCCCCAAATTGATCCCATTTTGTTCTGATTAATACACTTACCCAGCATATGTTGTGCTGTAAGAAAGATCCGATGGACTATTAGATGATACCATGACCATACTCAATCACTTTATGACTCAATGACTTAAGGGAGTAGAGTAGAAATATTGACAGTTCCACATTTGTTAATTATGGAGAACAGAAAAAATGATTACTTTTTGTTGAAATAAATAGGCCAAGAGAGCCCTGGTGTCAGCCCCGCTCCTCTTGGAGAAAGAGCTGTGAGGCCATCATCCCGATGGGTAATCTGACTTAACCAGCGATACCTGCTTGACAACTGTCATTAGAGATTTCACCAAGGCAAGGACAACAGGCTTCCTATGAGCAGTGAGAAATATGTAGCCTCATCAAAGTGCACCCTTTGGGAAGTGCTGGATATCCAACAGGTGAGGCCTTTTGTTATTCATTATTATAATGCAAAGGTTGAGTGTCCACTGCCTTCCATTCTGGTGTGAAAGCAGCCCCTCCTCTGTGCCTCCATTAGGCTGTCGTTCTCAGCATGGACTGATGCATTTTGTAATATTTCAAAATTAGTTTAGGCCATGTGTCCTTTTTTTAGCTCTGTAATTAACAATGGATGCTGGCTGTCTTAGAAAATACACATTTCATAGAATTTTTAAAAAATGAAACCCTAATAGCTCACATTTTAAGTATGTCAGCTGAACCTTACGGCTGTGTTACAGCCTGGAATATGTGCAATCATATCAGAAGGCATTGCTACATTTTAAGGAGTAAAATATTTAAAAAGTATAATTTTGCCAGGTGATATAAGAATATTGCCAGTGAAAGCCCTCATGACTGTTAGCTTGTTAAAAATAAAACCACCACCACCAGTCTGATGTGAGCTGTGGATGAGCTGTGAGTTGTGATAGCAGCTGGCCCTGGGGAGGTGGCTGTGAAGTCCAGAGGCTCTTTCCTGGCCTATTTCATTCCTAACGCCCATTTATTATACACCGCTATGTCCCAAAGTGAACAAGCAAGGCATGTCAAATTCAGGTCTTGTCCCCAACAAAATAGAAATGTGACAGTGACAGCATTTGACTGGACAATAACAAACTGGACGAAGGATATTTTCTCTCATTGGAGACTGACAGTGTTTTAGTTGTGTTTAAAATTTGTGATTCTCCAACTAATGAAAACCTGTGGAACAATTAATTTTACAAATCTATACAGGGAATTTGTGATTTTGTGTTCAGAGGCGGTGATACTACAAAAGAACAAAAATTCCCAAGCACTTCCCCAAGCAGACGCCCCCATTCAGTGTAACACTGACAGCATTTAGTGTCTGGAAGATTTCAAAGGGGCACAGCTGATGCCTCTTCGGTGCTGCCAGTCACTAAGGGGTTTCATGTTCCGGGGGAACGACTTGTCAATGGGTGATGCTCAGGATCCTGAAGAATGGATGTGAGGTCTCTGTGCCAAGTCTGTGTGGGCTGTGGGAAGTCTCTGTGTCCTGTCTCTAGATGAAGCCTCTCCGTGAGGTTCCCATGTGAGATCCCTGTGAGGCCATATGTGGTCTCTGTGTATCATCTCTGGGTGAGGTCTGTGTTGGAGGTATCTTTGAGAAGTCTCTGAAATTTGTGTGGGGTCTTAGTATGAGGTCTCCAGAAAGTGACTGTGAGACATGTCTGTTGGGAGATATCTCTGTGAGGTCTCTGTGAGTTGTGTGTCTGTGGAGTGTGGGTCATCTCAGTGGGGGACGTCTCTGTTGGGAGGTGTCTCCGTGAGGTCTCTGTGTTGCCTCTGCTGGGAGTGTGTGAGGTCTGTGTTGTGTCTGTTGGGAGTGTCTCTGAGGAGTCTCTCTGTGAAGTCTCTGTGTGTGTCTGAGAGGTCGTTGTTGGGAAGTGTCTCTGATGTCTCTGTGTGTCTCCCTGTTGGGGGGGTGTCTGCGAGAGGTCCGTGTGGGCCTCTCTGTAGATGGCATCCTGCACCTTATGGAAGGCTGAGCAGCATCCGATGGGCAGTGAGACTTGCTCCTCCGTGTTTGTTTCGTCAGCATCCCAGTCAGTCTATGGCACTTCTTCTGACAGGAACGTGGGATCCACATCGAGATCCCCCCACTCCAAGAACTCACTTCTCTGTGCCCGAGAACATCCAGTGACAGCCAGGCTCGAGGTCCTGAGCTCCTGAGGGCCCAAAGCACTCTCTTTCCTGGTCTTCCCCTTCCCACAGGTCCTGAGCGAGCTGTCAATGCTGCACCCACCCTCACAGTCACTAGAGAAATTGCTGTCTTCCTGCTTCCTGTGCGATTGGGGTGGGGAGGAGGCAAGCTGCACTAGGAGTAGAGCACAAAGGGACCGCTCCTGGGCTGCACCCCCCATTCTGGGCGGATCACTTCCACCTTCCCATGTGGCAAACCCTGTCCGATGGCCTCTCCTTCCCAGCTCTGGGGTAAGCAAGACTGGAGCCAGGTAATACTACGTGATGGCAGCTAGTCTCTCAGACTTTTGAGTCCCCACATCCCCCATGGAGCAGTCCTTGGGCCACGTGTTTCTGCAAAGGTTACCATACTGGGAGGCCCCAGCAACCTCCACTCCCCTACCTGTCTGGCTTCCGCACCTGTCAGGTCATCCTTTCTAGAATTCAGGAGGTGAGCATGTGGAAGCTTATTAACTATTGTGAGGACATTAACCCTCCCTGACTTGCTTCACTTTCACAAGTTTGGCCCTAGAGGTGGCTTCTTTAGGTCTGTCGTCTTGGAGCTGGAGCAGGTGAAGACCTGGGGTGCAGCCCCCCAGGCCAGTAGATGGCAGTGGGACATCAGAGCTCCTTGGTCACTGCACATTTATGAACACTTGATGCCATTTTGCCTTAGATCCAAAGTATTCAATTCTTCACCCACTTTCCTCCCAAGGTTCAGAGCGTCTGTCAGTTACCACATTCAGTCACACTCCTTTTCATTCAGTCAGAACCGCTTCTCTAGGATTAACATACGGGAAGGCAGGTGACCCACGGCCATGGCCATTCATTCATTTGGTGCAGAGGTGAACACAGCCCTCATCAGACTCCCTGACACCCACCTATACACACACAGAGCAAGAAGTACCATCCTCACTGGGCTCTAAGTGTGGGAAAGGCAGGAGTGGGGGGGGGAGCTGTACATTTTATCCAGGAGAAGCTAAGAGGGTTCACAGGGCCATCTCCACCCCAGCCTTCATCAGGGAGAGAAGGGGCCTTAAAGGGCAGCTGCTATCTATTTCCCACCGATATATCCAGGGGCAAGAGTTCTCTTGCTTCTGAACTCAGGGCCCAGCAACCTCCACTCCCTTACCCCACAAACATTCATCCACTTTGCTCTGACACTTCCTGGAGACTGAGTGGGAATGTCCAGCCCTGTGATGTCCCTGTAAACCTGTCCCCTAGAGTTGCATAAAGTTCAAAGTAGAGTGGAAGCAGGAGAAAGGTGGGTTGAACCCGGTCCTGGGGTGGGGTCTTCATGGTTTTTCCTCATTTTGTTTTAGAGTAGTTTTTGTTGTTTGCCATGACAGAATTGTGAAAACGGAAAGTGCAATGAAGGGACTTGAGATAAGGAGTGAGCTGGCAATGCCACGGTCAGTCTTCCTCGATGCCCCTCCCTTGTAGAAGCCAAAGGGCATACCGAGCACACCACAGACAAAAGTCACCACACCAACGCCTTATGAGGAAAAAAACAGAGGAAAATTAAATTTTTTGAACGTGTTAATGAGAAAATGGGCTGATTTTTTTGTTGGAGACATGTCTACGGTTGACCAGGCAAGACACCTCCCTGAGAAAAACACTGCTTCAGGCAGTGCTGATGGTGGCCTAGGGCACCTGGCATATTTGGCCCATACTGGCAGGGACTGACTGGAGACAAAGTCTTCTTGAGGGTCCGGGATGGGAGGTGACTCAGACCCAATGGCTCATCATTGGCTCTGACACTTTTCAAGGACTCTTTCTGTCTGACTTGCCCTTCCCTGATGGAGCAACTCTGGTCCTTGGAGTTGGCCTGGTGACTGCAGCCTGTATGACTCATCATTCTCCCTTTCTGGGGGTAGAAGGGAGGCCTGTGGTGGGAAAAACACCCACACCCTGGGGTTTGGGGTTCCTGTTTTTGCTCATTTAACTTTGTGGTATGAAGTCCATGATGAATGGCCACTTTCTCCTCTAGCATCTGTCCCACAACTCTTAAGAGTGTCTGAGCCTCAGGGATCGTGTTGTCCGTAACTGATCTGCTTTGGACTGGTCCTTGGCTCTGGGCAGTGATTGATTTGGGCTTGTATTTTTGCAGAGCATCCTGACCTTTGAGTGTTTTATTGGGGAAAATCCCCTGTAAAAAGAGCTTCATTCTTTGTCTGAAGAAACTTTCTGGAGGACCCTGTTTCTTCTCTGGCCGCAGCTGGAAGTATTTCCTGTCAACAGAGTCTACTGTTCCTGTAGCCCTGGCAGAGGGCCTCATTCTACTGATTTGAGAGGTCCCCAAATTTTCAGGCACTTCCACATGCTCTCCTGGGTCAGGCCTCCTGCAGTCCTCTCTCTTGTAGGTAGGGGCAATCATTTGTCTCTGATTCTTCCAAGTGTCCTGGACATTAGAGATCTTGGGCTCCTGCTTCCCTAGGCTGCTCCTTAGGGCTGTCTTAAGGCAACATAACACATGGGAAGCTAGCCTTTCTCCAGTGGGCATCCTCTGGGTGTGGCAGTGGCGCATCTGAGAAGCCAAGTTGTCTGCAGCAAGGGTCATGTCCGTGGGACAGTCTTGAGGTTGGTTCTTTGACTGTACCTTCACTATGGACATAACTTCATTAACGACCTCTTTGTTAAGGCATGGCTCTTCTGGATCTTGGAGAACAGACACTATAGGGAATAGGGAGCTTTTACTGGTCCTTGCAGCTCCTAAACTCCTCAAATGTGCATTTATGTTTTGGGACTTTGTCAGTACATTGGTTCCCAACTCTGGTTGAAGAGCAGGGGACACATTTGCCTCCATTGTCTCCCTGGCCCTCAAAGATTGGGATCCTAAGTTCACCTCCAGCATTGTTACCCTATTGTAGGGGTCTTGTGAGTCCCCACCCCTAGTCTTCCCTCTTGGCTCATTGCAGACCATTGCTGAAGTTGGACTGAGATCAAGTCTGCCCCTCTCAGCCCACTCCACAGTCCCACTCTGCCAGGTTAGCGTGAGAGACTGAGAAGTTGGCCTACCCTTCTCTCTAGTCAGAGAGGCCTTTGAAGGCCCATGGTCGTCACCAAATGGAGTCCCCCCCAGAACACTCTGGATTTCCTCACACACAGGTGAGGCGCCAGGGCGAGGTCTCGCTAGTGTGGGAACTGACTCTTCTGTTTTCACTCTCCCTCCCAGACAGACCTCAGGAGGATTTCCCAGGAACTCAGCAAACTTGACTATCGGGTAGGCCCCAGATACAGAGGCGGATGAGGAGGGAAGGGTGAACTGCTGAGTGTGTGAGGCTTTAGCCTTTTTCAACTTAATGAGATTCGTGGGCTTGAGCACCTTGAGGGGCAGGCCCCACCTGTGCTTCACCCGAAACTTTGTGATATGTGCTTCTAGCACCTTTTGAATGTCTGTATCAAGAAAGAAAACCCTGTGGGAGGTGTTCACACAGGGTTCCCAACTCTTTAAGATTCCTAGATTTTTGGTTTCCACATGAGTGTCAGCTGTGGCAGAAGAGTGGTTGACAGCAAGCCAGGATCCATGCACACTCATAGGGATCAAAATATTGTTCATCTGCCCCAACTCACTGCTCAAATGGCCTTTTAGGGTGTTTTCTGGATTTTTGTCTAAGTTTCTCAGTAAATCACTTCTGGAGTCCCTCCTCAAAAGCATCAGGTCTCTTTCTGACTCCTCAGAGTCTACCATCTGAATTGTCACTAGGGAGCTTTCTGAGTCCTTGGAGAGATCTTTTTGGACCTTCCCTGTATTGTGGCTTAGCTGGATCCCCATCTTCTGTGCATCCTTGCTGCTTTCACCTGTGAATGAAGAGGGCTGGGAGGGCCCATGCTTGCCCCTTGCCTGACATGTCCCTGGTAATTCGCCCTGATGTTGCCTTAGTTCCAGAGGTTCTTGGATCTTGGGGGACAACTCCCAGCTGTGTTGTATATGCCAGTTTTGGAGGTGTTGCTCCAGTTGCTTCTGGAGCTCAGACCTGACTGGAAAATTCTCAGGAAGGATTCTGCCCTTGGGGTGGTTGGAAGTGAAGACCCTGAAGACTTCCTGAGATCTTTTGACTACAGAGGATAAATGCCACCTACTTTCTAGTTGCGTCTCCAACAAGGGCCTTTCTGGGTGTTGAATCTCAATTGGAATTAAAGATTGTGGCTTATTCTGGGCTGTGGGGCAAGATACTCCACAAGCCCTAATCTGAGGTGGAGAAGGCAGCGGTAGGCTTGGTACAGAGGGTTGGAGATGGCTCCAGGTCTGGAGCTGAGCCAGAGGTGGGGGCTGGAATTGAAGCACGGTTGGAAACAAGGGTTGAGGTGGGAACTCCAAGTGAGACATGGGCTGGGAATGGGAAAGCAGTGGAGATACTGTAGGCTGCAGTTGAACTGGGCAGGCATTCGAGATGCCATTGAATAAGAAAGGTGGAGACTGTAGTGTGGAAGAGCCCTCAGAGGTCCAGGCAGTAGCCTCCAGGGATTCGCTGTGCAGAGAAGGGAGCCCCCAAAACAGCTGGTTATAGAGCTGCTTAGGACTAGCCAGTTGCTCTTGTTTGTCATTCATGCTCCAGAAGGGTTGGGGGGTTGTGGTGTCCTGCTCAGCAACTGGTGATTTCCACGTATTTCCCAAAGAATTCAGGTGGTAGTTTGGGTTCATTTGTTTCTGATATAATGCATCTTTTTCATTTTCTTTCAAAACCTTGACACTGATTTTCTTTGTGACATGTATCTCCAGGAGATTCTGCTCATCAGAGGTGAGGAAAGGGAGGCTACTGGCCTCTACCTGTCTGTCTGTGGAGTCTTCCTGGAACGAAGTCTCTGGTGGGTGGTGGGACAGGTGCCACTGGGACAGGGCCAAAATGGGACAGCTTGAGTTCCCAAGGCCTGAGATGGCTGGGGTCGGAGCAGTCGACTGAGGGGCATGTGGAGACGAACCCTGTGGGATGGTGCCCAGTGGCCGTGCCACTGAGCCACCCTGGGGAACAGTGAGAGCGGAGTCTGGTGTTGGGGGTGCAGAGGAGGCTGTGGGAGGTGGAGGGAGGGCCTCTGAATCAGGGGCACATGAGGGGGGCTGGGAAAGTGCATGTGGCTGGGGTGAAAGGCCATCCAAGGGGAGGAAAGGCTCTGGAGGCTGAGAGGCACTCAGGGATGAGTGTGACTGAATGGAAACTGATGGGGTTGTTGGACCTGGTGACGGGGTGGAGGCCAGAGGTGGTGAGCACCCAGTCACAGGAGCTGGGGAATTGGATGTGGACATGGCAGGAGCAGCATCTTCCACAGGCTCCCCGCAGGGCCAGGCGGCTCCCTCAGGTGCTGCTTTGCACACCTCACCAGGGGGGTCTTGACATGAGAGGTGATGAAAGCCGCCCTGTTCAGGGGGCCTCCCCACGTGTCTGCAGGAGATGGAGGCACAGGCTGCAGCCAGGAGCAGGTGGGCAGGTCAGATGGGGGTGGGCACCTGGGGCCCAACACTGACTTCCCAGTGCTCCTGCTGTCCCTCACCCCAGGGCCGCAGCCACAACCTGTCCCCCCCCCAGGTCAGTGCACGGTGGCCTGTAGCTCTCAGCTGACATCATAGGTTTGGGAGGAAAGAAGACCCAGGAGAGTAGGGGCAGATTCTTTACCTTCCAAGAAGAGAAATGAGGCCCCGAGCCTTTTCCAGTTCTTGCAGGCACTCTCTGCAGGCTGGAAATCAGGAGGCTGGGTCACATGGTGGAGCAGGGCCCGGGGATCTTACAGGAGGCTGAGTGCCATGGGGCTTTAGGGGACACGCCTGGGAGAGTGGACTCAGGAGTCCAAGCCTTGGGGCCAAGGCCACATAAGCCCTAACAGCGATGGGAGGCTCCTGACAGTGGCGCTCTGTCATTTACAAAGTGCTTCCACATCCAGTACCCCCTTGGCCTCCCCACTGCCCTGCGGGGAGAAAGGGCAGGGCCACCTCAGAGGCACTTGAATGAAGGTAAACACGCCCACGGCTGGACCTGGAGGTCCCCCCTCCCAGTCAGACACTGTTGGTCCACGCAGCCCAAATGTCCCTGCTGGGACACCCCTGCTAGGGAAACACCCATTTCTAGGCCCTGGAGGCTTCGTTCCCAGCACAGAATCTGGGAAGAATCCGGGTTCTGACCTCCTCCGAGGAGCCTCCGGGAGGCTCTGCCACTGGCATCCTCAGGGACCTCACCCTGGGCCCTCAGGGACAGGACAGATGGAGGCAAAGTCTCGGAGGGCAGGGCTGGGGGCAGAAGCTCACCCTTCAAAGCTCCTCTTTTCTTCCTGCACCTACTCCTCCGCCTTGGCTCCACCGACCGCTGAGAGACAAGAAGAAACGAGGGGCCGGGACCCCAGTCTCACCCTCTCTAGATGAGCGGCAGACACTCAGGGTCGTGAACACGACTCTACACTTACCTTCTGGGGCTCCCTGGTTCTTCCATTTACTTGTTATTACTGATGTTCAGTATCAGAGTTTCTTTGATGCTAAAATAGGCTGTGGATTCTCAGCTTTATTTTTTCTTCTCCAAAGTACTCAGAAATGCATGGTACACTGAGTATTTTATGATAGAAATAAGGCCATGTTGATTTAAAAGATGGCTTTTACTTATTTTTAAAGTGGGTAAAATATTTTGTTTTCTTTTGAAAAATGCAGAAAAGAATTTTCTATGTGAGACCCACCATCGATTCCCTCCATCACTGCTCCTCTGCTCCAGACACACACACATTCTCAGACCGCCAGGCAGCCTGAGCTCCCTCAGGTAGGCCTCTGCTTCCTGACCGCAGCACCCCCAGCCTCTGCTCAGAGGCTCTCAGGGCCTCCCTCCAATCCCTGCCCGCGGGTCAGCCCCAACAGATGAGAGGTGGCTGGTCAACCAGGGCTCTGGGCCTGTCCCCACAGCGATCCAGCTCTTAGAACCCAGGCCTTGGCCACTGGTCACTGCATTTGGGGCTGTGCCTAGAGCCCTCCACCACACCTGGACTCCTGGTCAGAGATCTCGGGTAGAAATCCTCCTGCCTGCTCTAACCCCAGCCCCACTGGGCTTGTTCCTAGAAGGATGAAATTCTATCTTTCCCAACTCAGGAGTCTCTCTAGGTGGTTCAGAAATGTGGAAATAATAGAAAAACAATCATCTCTGTGAGGTCTGGGCCCAGGGCTCCTTACCTTCCCGGTGGTTCTGCGTTTCCTAGGTGGTGGTGAGGGTGGCTCGCTCTCCAAGAAGTGCACTAGCACCAGGAATAGCAGTGCTCCACACAGGATGCCGAGGACGGTCTCAGTCACCAAGGAGGGACTGGAGCGCAGCCAGGCAGCAATGACGCTTTTCAGAGAAAAGAGAGGGTTCTCCATCATCTGAAGTGCTCGGCTGCCCTCAGGAACTGAGCACTGGCAGCTCCCTTGGGGCAGAAACCCGGCCCGCATCACAGAGCTGTGGCCTTGTCACAAAGGTTCCTGAAGGCGGGGGAGGGACAATAAGAAGCGGAGGCTGCCCAAGCCCCACCATCCAGCCCCACCATCCAGCCCCACCTGCCCCTGTATCCTTCTGGGCTTTCTAGCTCTCTCCTTCCAGCTCCTCTCATCCTGTCAGACCTTAGCCAATTTTCTATCAATTTCATCTGGAACCCAGATGTCACCCGGTTCCCTTTGTCCCTTAGAGATCTTGACTTGAGGCCCATCAGCTTTATACCTCTTCAAAATCTGAAGTTGACCCTGAAATTTGGGCTATTTCCCGGGGATTTTCACTATATTTCCTCTGTCCTCAACTCCAGCTTCCCCACAATGGTCTTGGGTTGTATAAATCCAGGCACAGAACTTTTACACTTACTTAGTTTTGTGAATTTGGGGTAGTGTTTGTCACATTTTCCATAAGAGCGACCTATACACAAAAAGTTAAAATAACTTATTTTTCAACATTTATAAATCTAAGTACAAAAGAATTATATGAAGTTAAGCCTTTAAATAATAATTTTATAAATTTATAGCATTTATAATTCTGGAATTAGGAAATCTTTAAACTGCACAAAGACTTTGAAACGTGTACACACACACACACATCCTTTCAAAAACCAATTCAATATTTTCAAATCCAAGAATCCGTAATTTTCTACTTAAAATATTTTTTCAAATGTTCTCTTGAACATTTACTCTCCACATAAGTTTTGAAACATGTGTCTTAGTCCATTAGGGCTGCTAGAAAAAAATTCCACAAACTGGGTAGATTAAAAACAATAGAAATTTACTTCTCCCAGTTCTAGAGGCTGGGAAGTCCAAGGTCAAGGCACGAGGTCACCTCCTGGTGAGGGCCCCCTTCCTGGTGCATAGCTAGAGCCTTCTCGCTGTGTCCTCACATGGTGGGAAGAGGCCTGGGGTCTCTCTGGAGCCTCTGCTATAAGACACCGATCCCATTAATAAGGGACTATAAGTACCACTCAATGGCACCACCACTGGTCACCTTTAGGAGTTAGGATTTCAACATATAAATCTGGGGAGAGCCCACAAACCTTCAGACATGTGCACATGTGCTACACCCAGAAACCAGGAGTGGGCTAGGGTGAGCTAAGGTATGACCCTTAAGGTTTGTAGGGTGGAAGGTGAGGGGTCAAAGCCTGGGGCTGGTTCAGGTCTTAAGCAGCCTCTTCAGATATCGCTAGTGTGTCCTGTACATGTTCTCTGTTCCGAGTGTGCCTTGGCCTTGCGCGCCCTCCCCTCCGGACCCTCCGGTCCAGCCGAACCGCCTGGAGAGAGCTGTGAGCACCACACAAGCCTCCCTTGTGGCGCCCTCGGCATCCCCTCAGCAGTGGTCAGGACCCACCGAGGAATTCCCATGGGAAGTGTCTTAACACCCAGGTACACCTAGAAAGAATGTGTGTCCTGCTTGCTGGTCGTAATAGTTTACACAGCTCTCCGGGAACAAGGGCATTTGCGTTTGTCTGGCTGCGCTGTCAGGAACGAGCACGTTCCTGCGTCACTGTCACTTCTGTGGGCCGCAGGCTTCTCCTCCTTCATGCCACTCTCACCTGGAGTTCAAGCTTTTATCAGGATTTGGGCTTAGGTTGTCCTGTATTCATATTTTCCCCTCTGTATTTTTTCAGTTATTTTCAATGTTTTGTTTATTTTTTTTACATTTAAAACTCTTATCTGACTATCTTTACCTTGATTCTTTTATTGTTCTATTATGATTTATTTTGCCATCTTAGTTTATTCTTTATTTTCCATACTTTTTTCCCCCCCTCCTCTTGCATCTTCCACTTTATAGATCAAATGTTCTTTTTGTTTACATGTAATTTGGAAATTTTTTACATTGTAATGGTTTATGCCATTAATTATGGTAATTTCCTCTTCAGTGTCTTGTGTGTGTCAATATTGGTATCATCTCAGCAAACCGAGCAAGTGCTCTTGCCTCTTCTCACCTCCTCTGATTTTGCTTTCTGCGTCATGACAGCCCTTATTGCAAGGGGATATTGTCTGGAGCTTTAATTCTGGGTTATTTGAATGTGCTACACTTTCATGTACATTTTAGGATACAATAAAGGCCATTAACATCAATCATTTTTTCCACAAAGTAATAGCGTGTTCATAGATTTATTTTTCTTCCTACTGGAGTATTTCCTCTAGAAATATTTCCAAAGGGATTTATGTGAAATACAACTTTTGAAGCCTTGTTTTCTGAT